CCTTAGGAATTGGAAATAATTCTATTGTAACAGAAAGCCAATCAGTGGTTTCCTGAGGTGGGAGTGTGAGGGAGGAATTGCCTGGAGCACAAGGAAACTTTTGGGGGTGATAGATATATCCACTATCTGGGTGATGCATGTATATGTTCAAATGTACTAAACTTTAGACTTTAATTATATACAATTTCTTGCATGTAAATTATATCTCAATGTACCCGTTGAAACAGTTTAAATTACAAAAGCAAAAACTTATATACCCTCCAATTCAATAAATGTTTTTTATATTTTCCAAAATGTTCAACCGTATGTTTTTGCAAGCTTAAAGTAGGCAATGAATTATTTCTTTGGGTACGAAAATGAACTTATCTATCTTTACCTTTCTATAGGGAACTCTCGAAAAAAAGACAACCTTAAGAGAACTTAAAGGGAAGCCACAATATAGAAGTATGTTTATCTCCTACAAAGGACTGTTCTCTAGAATTAGATATCATATAGTCTGATAAGATAATCAACACAATACAATAATTGATCAAAAGATTTGAATAGAAACTTCACAAAACAAGATATATGAAGGGTTCATTAGCACATGAAAAGATGCACAACTCATTGGTCGTGAGGGAAAGAAGTCAGTACTACAATGAGATATCATTGCGTATCTATTGGTATGGCTAAAGTCAGAAAGTCTGAAATCTCACATAAAACACCTGGACATCTCATATAGCTGTGGGAATGAAAAATAGTACAACCACTTTGAAAAGCTAACTCCCAGTTACTTATAAGATTAAACAAATACAAATCCTATGGACAGTCATTCCAATCCTAGGTATTTACACAATACGTGTACAGAATGATCAGCATGTGGATGTGTGTAATAGCTTTATTATTATGCCCCAATTATGATTGCCCCAAACTGGAAGTGACACAAAAGTCCAGTGACAGATGAATGTATAAACAAACACGAAACACTTGAAATCCTACCCAGCAATAAAGATGTCATGAAGTACTGGTTCATGTGGGAATATGGGTGAATTTGTTTTTTTAAAGATTTTATTTCTTTATTTGATAGAGCGAGAGAGCACAAGCAGGGGGGGCGGCAGAGGGAGAGGGAGAAGTAGGCTCCGTGGGGAGCAGAGAACCGCACGCAGGGCTTGATCCCAAGATGCTGAGATCAGGACCTGAGCTGAAGACAGACGCTTAATCGACAGAGCCACCCAGGTGCCCTGAAATATGGATGAATATTAAAATCATTGCACTGCATTGTATGAAAGAAGGCAGACATAAAAGAGTATCTATATGTATGTCCAGTTATATGAAGTTGTTAAAACTGCAGTGATCTCTACTATTGATGGTTCCCTGGGTCTGAGGCTAGAGGCAGTGATGGACCACAAAGGGGCACAAGGGAGGTTGTGAGGGAGTGGAAATGCCCTGTGTCTTGACTGTAGCAGAAGTTTCATTAGTGTGTACATCTATCAAATAGCATTTAACTGTATGCTTTAAAACGCATGCAGTCTATTGTACCTAAATTATACCTTAAATAAGTTGATTTCCCAATCTATTGTATCTCTCTGCAGGGACAATTAGTAGTGAGAAAATGAAATCAGTAAAACGCAATCGAGAGTAACATCCAAAATTATTAAATGCTTATGAATATATAAAAATGAAGCAGACCCAAGACCCCTAAAAAGGATTGCTGCGAGAAATTGAAGAAGACTAGTAAACAGAGAAATAGGTAGCATGTTCGTTGATTGCAAGCCTCAGTTTTGTTAGGAGAACAAATTAATATTATTTTGATCAAGATTGCTGTAGGTATTTGTGAAGAAAATGGCAAACCAATTTTAAAATGTATATGAAGGGACGCCTGGGTGGCTCAGTCAGTTAAGCGTCTGCTTTCGGCTCAGGTCATGATCCTAGCATCCATTCATTAAAATGCAAAGGCCATCTACAGACCAGAAATGATTCTTTTCAATGTATGTATCTGACAAAACACTCATCCAAAATATATCAAGAACTCTTATAAATCACAAAGAAAATGAGAAACAACCTAGTGTATTAATGAGCAGAAATATTTTAAAAAGCCCATCCCAAAAGAAGATATCCAAATGATTAATAAGCATATGAAGACCCAATAGGATATCTGCTAGATTGGTTTCCTTCTTTCTTCCTTTCTTCCTTTCTTTCTTCCTTTCTTCCTTCCTTCCTTCCTTTCTTTCTTTCTTTCTTTCTTTCTTTCTTTCTTTCTTTCTTTCTTTCTTTCTTTCTTTCTTTCTTTCTTTCTTCTTTCTTCTTTCTTTCTTTCTTCTTTTTTTTTAGTGGACCCCAACACAGGGCTCCAATTCACGACCCTAAGATCAAGGCCTGAACTGAGATCAAGAGTTGGATGTTACCCCCAGAAATGGATTCTAATGGCTCCCTCCTCTCTTCACTAGATATGTGGCCTTGGGAAGCTTTGTAATTTTTCTGAGGTTTTTTTTTTTTTTCTCATCAGGAAAAGCATAGCACCTTAATAATAAGATAGTTCATAGGATTCGGTATGATCACCCAGAAGGGTACATGAACTGTACTTTTTGCTAAGAATATATTTGACCTTGAATTCTCCTTTATACATTTTTAAAAGCACAGACAGACAATTCGCAAGGAATAGACAAGTTGTTCTAAAATAAATACCCTTTCAACTTTTCTAGAAAGAAATCATATATATAATAGAAAATTGGAGAGGAACCAATTTGTATTGAACAACTCTCCCCAAACCCTGAAGCATGTCTACTTTCCATTAAGACCTGAGATGAACATCTTGACTAGGTCCAACCCCTGCAGTCTTCTTGGTCTGGAGGGGTCTGAGAAAGTCCATTCTAGACCTAGAATGATCTGGACTCCTGGACAAGCGTTCCTCAGAAAGATAATCAACTACTCACCTCTAAAGGCCCTGAGCAATTTGTGAAACTGTGGGTGAGGTTAAGACCAGCTCAACTATATAAGCAGGACTCTCCCCTGAAACAAAGCTAGGGTATCGACAGATAGCATTTCCAAAATCTCTGTTACAGGCCATGGCATGCTCCACAGGAGGGAAAACAGGCACATGAGTATCAATGGAGAGAAATATCAATCAACAGACAAGAGACATTATTAAATAATGTCCACCACCCATTACAACCCAGGAAAGCTCTCATTCAAAAGCCATGTTTTGAGGAATATGTAGTTATAAATCTTCATGATTTGGGGCTAGAAGCCAGTTTCTTAAATGGACAAGCAACCCCAAGAATAAATAGATAGACTGGATTTCATCAAAATTAAAAGCTTTTTGTTTCAAAGGACACTATCAAGGAAGTGAAAAGACAATCCATGGAATGGGAGAAATATTTGCAAATTGTATATCTGATGGAGGTCTGCTATCTAGAATATATTAAAAAAAAAAAAAACCCTTACAACTAAGCAGTAAAAAGCCAATTTAAAAATGGGAAAAAGAGTTTGAGTCGACTTTCTCTAAAGGATAATACCAATGCAACACCGAATACATGAAAATAGCATTAGTCATTAGGAAAATACAAATCTAAAGCACAGTGTGATCCCACTTCCCCCCACCAGTATGACTTAAAAAAAAAAAAAAGACAATACATGTGTTGGGAAGATTGTAGAGAAATGGAACTCTTAGACCTTCCTGGTGGGAATGTCAAATGGTGTAGTTGCTTTGCTTTGGAAAATAGTTTGGCAGTTTCTCAAAAAGTTAAACATAGGGTTACACATGACGTAGCAATTCCACTCCTAGGTAGTTAGCTAAAAAAATTGAAAATATATGTCCACATAAGGGGAAACGAACACTACGTAACACAGAGATGCAGGAAGAAGAATACCGAGAGAGTTGGAACAGGAAACAGTTTCATAATTCATTGCATAAATTAACATTGGTTTTTCTCCTGTGTTTTGGCTTTTGTGTGTGTGTGGGTTTTTTTTTTGTTGTTTTTTTTTCCTTTAAAGAACGTTTCCTTTCCTACATACATCCTAAGAATGTATTGTAAATGGAGGAAGATCCAAATAAATGTAAAAGCTTGTCAAATACAAAGCAAACAAAGATAACTAAAGTGCTAGGATGCTTCTCTTGTGTTTTTAGTGGACAGAGGAAAAAAAAAAAAAACACTAGAAAGACACAGGGAAGACCATCATGACAGTGTAAGACATTGGAATCTATCCCTTATTGGAAACGCCTTCAGATCTGTTTTACCTTAAAGGCAAGTGGGATGAGTTCATGACAGCCCTTAAGAAAACCTGGTGGGAGGCGTGCCTGAGTGGTTCAGTTGGCTGAGCATCTGACTCTTGGATTAGGCGAGGGTCATGATCTCATGGATGGTCAGATTGAGCGCCTTGTCACACTCTCTCCCTCTTCCCATCCCCCCAGTCTCTCTCTCAAATAAATAAAGATGAACAAAGAAGAAAACTCCTTGGGAAACTATTTCTGCCTTGGTGATTTATACACACACAAGAATGAACAATCAGAACTATGCTGAGATAATGTTTTAGAAAGAGATGGGAAGTGTGGTATTAGCACAAGGGTAGACAACAAGAGAGAGTGGCCAGTGAGGGGTGGTCCCCATCAGTGGGGACCTTCAGGGGGACCAGGCAGCCTTGTGTATCCACATGGCCTCGGCAACAGGAAGGCAGCAGCTCCCCAGGTTCCATGACACCCCGGACGTTCCAATTCTGTTACTTCAAGTGCAGACCGTCACCTGGCATTTTGGGGGCTCCCTCTGTGGTTCCGGTTGGAGTCTGAGCTAGGGGCAGGGCCTTCGGCTCTCAGCTCTGGCATCTTGAACCTTGCTTTTGTGGTTACCGACTCTCAAGAGCTGTGGGGTGTTGTTCCAATAGTTCCCAACAGTAAGTAAAGACTTCCTGTACCCTCACCCCTCAGGCCTGATTAAACCTACTTGATTTCACTGGTTTTTAACCCATCATGTGTTTGGGTTTCTTCTCCTCAGTCCCCAGCTCTTCCTCTTCGGCCACACGTCACCATGGCAGCACCTCTTGGCCCTCTGTCTGATCCAGGGGCAGAAATCAGCCTCCTGGAAATCAACCAGGAGCTTCAATCCCAGCTGGAAAAAAGCCAGCAGGACTTCCGAGACCTCAAGGAGAAATTCCTGATATCCGAAGCTACTGCCTACTTCCTGGCCAACCAGCTGCAGAAATACAGTAAGTCCTACAAGGTCATGGTCTCCAAAGTGATGGCTGTCTGTATTCCTTCTGAGAAACTAAAAACCTCTCCAGATGCTGTCTTCTCTATTTCCAGTGTCACGATAAATTTCATCTGACCACAATCTGGGAAAGGTAGAAGTGGGTATTTACCCTCAGTTTGCTGAGGATGGGACAACTGAAGACAAATAGGTTAACAGTGACATGTCAGGTGGGGTTAGAGTGAACATCCCAGTTATTGCTGCGTCCTGGTGCAGACACAGAAATGCCTGGTCCTCTCAGGATGGTCTCTGTGCCGTATCAGATCCTGCATCACTGCTGGCCTAAGTGTCAGGGACTAAGGAACTCTCTCAGGTCCCGCTTCTCTAAGGTATCACTGGTAAAGCACCGAGATGGTTACACTGGGGAAACATGCTGATGGGACCCATGGGCGCGGAGGCGGGGAGGGGTGACGGTAGCAGGTGACACTACCTGCTTTCAAGGAGACGGAAGTGAGGTCTCCTTTCCCCCCTGAAACCGTGGTATCCATGAGTGACGCCATCCAAACAGGGACTCCCCTGGTGAGAGGGAACCCGTGACAGGCTCTGCTTCCTGAGTCCACGGAGGCCATTTGATACCCAGTGGTAAGGTTGAGGGTGTTTCAGGGGACATCAGACAATCGGTGCTACCTCCTCTGTCTCTCCCTGAGCTGGGGAACATTGAGAGATGCAGGATGGCCAGCAGGTCCAGGCCTGGGCCAGGAGACACGTGGCCAAGTGAGAATGAGGGTGAGTGGGGGAGACCACATCCCGGGGAACCACCCAAGGCAGGGTGTGGGGCAGGCCCTCCCCCACAGGCAGCCTGAAATGGGGAGCTCAGCTGCCTGTTCATTAGGAGGGGCCTGCGGTGACAGAAGGATCATGAGAACGGGGCACGTGCAAAGCCGAGGGATAGGAAGGAATCCTGACAACTCTGAGCCCGAATTTTGGTCATTTTCTCACAATTTGCTTTCAGTAGAACCAGGGGAGGTATAATTAAAAATGAGTGATGCAGACAAAAGTCAAAACTGAGGCCTGCTCTTTAGGAAAGGGAAGAGATGATGAGCTTCCAGGGAAGGACAAGCAAAGTTTTGTTCACAACTTTCCTGAAAATCATCACATAACTGTGGGAAACCAGTTGTGAAGATGATGCAAATAGATGTCAGCCGAGGGCTTGGGGTGGACGTAACAGAGCACAGGGGTGAAGAGCATGGGCCCCGCGCCAGTTTTCCTGGACTCAAATCCATGCCGCCCATCGTCCTGTGCCTCAGTTTTCTCCTTGTTAAGGTGTTACTGGTGTGGGACCTACTTCTCTGAGTCCGAATGAATACTGAGTGATTTCTTGTAAAGCTCTAAGAGCAGAGCGTGGAACCATGTAACTCTGTTCATATTCTACTGCTTCTCATAACGCAAACTTTATTAGGATTTGGCCATATTCCTTTCAGGTGCTTCTGGTTTTATGCATTGTGGTTTCCACAAGTGTAACCAGAGGAATTTTTACCTTTGAGATACTTGCTCAGTAGAGAAATCCCAGCTCAGGGGACCCATCGGTCCTGTAGCCCTGGGGGGCTTATGTCATGTCCCTGCTCAGCGTTTTACTTAGGAGGCTGCAAGGCTTGCTAGGGTGGCCATGATCAGGGGAACCCGAAGTCTGACTCCACCACATACCAGTTCATCACCGTGTCCAGTTCCTCTCTGTGCCTTGGGGCTCTTCTTTCCTGGGCTCTGCAACAGGGAGTAATCGACTGCCCTGGAGTTGGGAGGCTGAGGAATGAGATGTGGAGCTCCCAGCGCAGAGCCTGGTGGCCAGGGTTCCATTTGTCCCGGGATGGTCCCTGACTCGTCCCGTGAAGGCAGCACGCACAGAAGCATGTCCAGCTTTCCACTGAGGCAGGCATCTCTGTTTCTCAGAGTGTGAAGAGTCCACCGACATCATCGAATCCGTGCTGGGGGAGAAGGTGCGGTTTGAGAAGGGGAAGCGGGCAGACACGGCGGCTGAGAACCTCAGGTAAGGAGGGCTCCGTGTGGGAGGCTGCAGGGAAGCCGTGGGCATCTCTGACTTGGGGCAGCAACAAGTCTGGGCCAGGAAAGGGCAGAAACGTCATGGCAGGCACGTGACGCAAATGTTTCTAAAACAACTAAGACAACAGTGATTGGTAAATGATGGACTCCAATGACTCAGAGCCTCATTCTCTCCTTTGAAAAAAATATCAAAGTCACCAAGTTCAAGGGAATAATTCGTGGCATTTAGCACATTCACAGTGTTGTGAGATCACCACCTCACTTACCTTTCACAGAGTCACGAGCTGGCTGACCACAGCTTGTCATCCTTTCTTTCAGACAATGCTGTCCTCTTGACCCTGCCATTCTCCTGAGCTCACCAGTTCACACCAGCTGTCCTGTCCACCCTTCTGTGTCTGGCGCTGTGTCCTTTAACTGCACGCTGCCCTATATGTAGTTTTCCAGGGAAATGGGTGTCCCCGAATTGAGCAGCTGAAGGGACATGTCTCTGGCGTGTGCTTAAGAGGACCCCTGGCTCTCTTTACAGAAGGAGACGATGCAAGGGATGTGCAGGGGCTCACAGGAGCATGTCTGATACACAGGAGGCCTTGATTTACCTTCTTCTTTCTCTGCCATGGGCAGGTCACCTCACATGTGTGAATTCGGCTTCGAGGGCTCCTTTGGGGAAATACTGCCAGAAATATCCACGAAAGCCCTTATAATCCTTTGTTCAACTCTTTGCATTTTAAAATTTTCTCTCTCTCCCACCTTAGGCTATGTCATATCCTACTTAAAGAGCTGACCCATTTGTATCAGAAGTTATGGGAAGGGAAAGACGTTTCCCAACTACTCAATAAGCACCTCGAGGACCTCCTAACCCATGGTGACCCTGAGCATCCCCAAGGGCCAGGCTTCCAAGAGCAACTGGCTGAGGGGCGCAGGCTGCCCAAGTGCCTTGTCCGAAAGCTCAGCGCAGGTAAGGCGGCCACAGACCCTGATGCCCTGAGCTGCCCCAAGGCCCTGGGCTCACAAGAGACTCCCCACCTGCCCTCACGCTGTTTGCAGCAGCTGTCCTGGGTTCCCCATCGCGCGTGGGGCCGTGAGAGGACCGGGACTGGAAGGTGGTAACGGAGAGGAGAAATGCACAGGGTGGAGGTCGTGGTGCTCCACGTGTCTGCTTCCTCCCTGAGGGAATGCAGCGTTTGGCGCAGGAGGCAGCCTCCACCGGTGTTTGAGCCCAGAAAGCAGAATGTGACAGGAGGATGCTTGCTAGTGTGCAAGGGTCCCTGCACTAAGTGGGAGGTTCCCAGACACAGCGCGGTCTGTATGAACTGTGGGCGAGAAAGTGAGTTTAACTTTCTCCATATCAGTCTCCTCATCTGTAATGTATATCAAATAACCTGTTGACACTGTAGTGATGAGATAGGGAAAATTCATGAATGCCCTTCAGGAAAAAATAAAGCTCCTGACCGTGTGGAGTTGGACGAGGTACTTGATGCAGTAGGACTTGGAGGTGGGAGCGCTGTTTAGACTGGAACACTTTTCGTAGACAGATGTCCCCTTGATCACACTGAAGCCCCCATGGGGGCCCATGAAGTCCCTGGTGGAGGGATGAGGGACAGGGTGGTTGTCCTGCCATGAGGGCAAGGAGGAGGCTCTATGTGAGAGCTGTGAACGTACAGAGAGCCTGTAGCCATGGCGGGACCTGCAGCACGCTGCGAGACACAGTTTGCAGAAGTCAAGCTGAGAAGCATCCCCTGAGATGGACAACAAGAGACAGTAAAACCTGTTGCCCAGGTTCAGGGATGCTGATCTTCAGAATCAGAGACACACTGCCTGATGCATCAGAAATCCATGCCACAGCAATTCTGAAAGACAGTGCCCTAAACTCAGTAGGGTACCTAGTCATGCATAGACCCTTAGGTCTCTAGGGCCATAGAAGCCACTGTGTTTAGAGTGCTGATATGGGAAATAGCTGACGGGACATTTCTGAATTTATTTGCAGAGAATTATGAGGATGAAGAGGATGAAGAAGAACAAGAAACCCTCACTCCCAGGTGACAATGAATATTCAGGAACCAATAACGTGTGGGTAAAAATGGACAGGGTCTCAGAAAGTAGAGTGAGTGAGGTCAGGAGGGTCACAGATGTCAGATGCAAGGATAAGCGAAACTGCAGATGGTCCACAAAGGATGGCCCTGTTAGCTTGGTTGTCTGTGGTCTCTGGGCTGTTGTAAGACCAAGAAGAATTCACCAGCCTTAGGATTCCCAGTGGGTACAAAATACCCATTCTTTCCTGTAAATGGACACCGAGAGGAGATGCATATGTACTTCCTATACAGTTCTCTAAGGTCCTTGGTAGGAAGGTAGCTAACCAAGGAATTGGAAAACAGACAACTAGCAAAATTAAACACCAAGAGAAGTACCTAGCCCAAACCCAAAAACTTGGGGTGTCATGTGACACTATTAATACCAAGGTGCCTAGAAAGTCTACAGGGACTCCAGAGCTGTAAGCACTTGATCAATCTATGTTAAAGTCACCCCACCTCAGGCACGTGGTGGTTACCCCTGATCTGCTCTCCATCTGTGCTTCATGTTGTGACTGCACCCTACTGGGATGGTGGAGTCTCATTGCTGGTCAGTGCTTCTGTGGCCGGAGCTCTGAGGATCTGCTGCTGCTACTCTCCCAGCACCAGGCAGCCACACTCTGCCTCTTGTAGGATGGAGTGCTTGTTCCCTCTCCAGCCGGCAGCCCTTTGCCTTTTGTGACCACTCCCTCTAACTCCCATCGAAGCCAGCTAGGAAGCCACAGTGTCTGATCCTCCTGGTTTGATCTCCCGTCATTCCTGTCCTACCCGGCACAGCATGGAGCAGCAGGAAGTTGAAAAGAAGGAAATCCTACAGGACACAGTGGATGAGTGTGTTTTGACTCCTTCAACTCTGCAAGAAGGTAGTGAGAGCGACCAGTCCTACAGTGATGGCGAATTCCCATTAGATGAACAGGAATTCGGCTCTGCTCTGGATTTAGCCTGTGAATGCTCCCACACCCAAGGGGATGGAACTCCGTGTGGTCCCTCAGGTAATGTCCATGTTGTTTGTTCTGCATACTTTGTCTACACTGAGGAAGGTCATCTCTATACACAGGCGTTACAGACACACATTGCTTTAAATCAGGATATAATGGATTTGGAAACACAGACATCAGGTGGGTCAGGGAGCCTTCAACCATCCCAGGCAGGGGCCGTGCCTCTGCCACCCTGGCCCCCGGGTCTGGCCATTGCACCTATGTCAGGGGCGACAAACTCTACCCACCTCAGTAGGACATCCACAAAGTGTTGTCAGATACCCTCCTTGGATCAAATGTCTTTTGTCCCATGCAATGATACTTTCTCTTTAGGATCAATATCTCTCGAGGTCCTAGACCTGTCCAATGTTGTTGGCTCCCATGCCTGCATAACAGGAAAGGTGCTTTCCCTGGTTTCACTTCTCGCAGTCCCAGGCACTATCTTTTCGATGTTGGTTCAACTTAGCCAAGTGGTCATCTGCAAACAACTGTATCATTACCTTGTACGTATGTTCCTGTGAAGCAAAGCCGGGCTCTGGCATCAGTCAGACCACAAATGGCTTTTGTGTCAGTAGAACACCAAAGATTCTTTTTGATTTGAGGGTTTCTACAACGGATTCATTAGTCTAGTCTCAAGTATTAATTCCCGTGAAGCGTCAAGAACCATGGTATCTCATGGAATAACTCCATTTTGCAGCAACACTCCAAGAAGGTGCTTGGACTCTTCCCCAGGACCTCTGGGGAAAATATATTAGGAACTCTTTTTACAGATTCCCATCGGAGGGGGCTATTGGGATACTTTGTAGGGGACAAGGAAATGAATTTCCGCAGCAGGTCAGGGGCAGTCCTGTGCACTGCTCCTGAGACTTAATGTGGGGGGTGCCTGGGTGGCTCAGACGGTTAAGCATCTGCCTCCAGTTCGGGTCATGATCCTGGGGTCCTGGGATTGAACCCCACATAAGGCTCCCTGCTCAGCGGGGAACCTGCTTCTCCTTCTCCCTCTGCTGCTCTCCCTGCTTGTACTCTCTCTCTGTCTAATAAAAAAAAAAAAAAAAAGACTTAACCTTGGGCATCCTGGAATATCCCTGCCAGAACACTAGGGTCTTGCCCTGAGAAACCTGATCTCCTTGCAGTGTGGGTGGTCACTGTTTTGGTAATATGGGTAGTGTAATTTCCTTAGTGTGACCTGTTGTCTTGGAACTTATTTTCAGAAAGGCAAGATGATCTTGGGGAAGGAAATGGACAACACCCAACGTGCCCCAGGTAATGCTGAAGACTGTGGACTATGAATTTTCCTGGTGACCTCTGGAGACTTCACATCCAGGGATAAAGAGAAAGTGCTGCCTAGAACTATTCCATCCATTCAGTCAATAGCAGAATATGCCCTTTAACCATGTCATCTATTTTCATGTGGTAGTTGTGTAGGTCTCACTTTCTTACTCCCTCTCATGTTGAATAACCTACAGAGTGGACACACATGCATTAACCCAACCCAGGGATTCCTGTAATCAGCTGTTGTCTCCTGTGTGGTTCAACCCAAAGTGAGATGCATATCAGCTTTGTGCCTGTTTGACATCATCATGTTGGAGGATTTTTTTTTTTTGGAGGATTTTTGATAGCAAGAGAGGAAATTGAAGAATAAATGCATGTCCTATCAAAATATTGAGAAAATGTTCCTTGGAGTCAGAATGTCTGAGAGTCAGTAAGGCCTCAGGAAATTTAGTCACTTGGACACTGCATGTTAAAGTCAATGCAACGTAGGCAGCAGGGTTGAAGCCACTTGTTTTGATTCCCTCTGTGTGATGGGAGTCATCATTTTGACGTGAGTATGACAGGGAGGGTTTAGTCTCCTCCTCTATCACCTGGTTATGAGCTCAGTGCACATAGTATCTGCTACTCTGTCTCCCACTGCTCCTCATATAGGAGGCCACACTCTGCTCCTTATTTAGGGGGATAGTTTTTTTCCCTCCAAGGGGACAGCCACATGGCTTTCTGTGACCACTCGCTAGAACTCCCATCAAATCCAGCTAGGAATCCACGGTGTCTGATCCTCCTGGTTTGATCTTCTATCATTCTTGTCTCACCCGGCATAGCACGGAGCCCCAGGAAGTTGAAAAGAAGGAATTCCTACAGGACACAGTGGATGAATGTCTTTTGACTCCTTCAACTCTGCAAGAAGGATGTGACAGCGACCAGTCTTGCCATGATGGCAAATTCCTATTTGATGAACAGGAATTCGGGTCTGTTCTGGATATGGCCTATGAATGCTCCGATTCCAAAGGGGCTAGAACTCCACGTGGTCCCCCAGGTAGTGTCCATATTCCTTGTTCCTCACACCCTGCCAGACTGATACACCTCTCCAGCCCAGGCACAGGAGGTCACTGCCAGACCTCCTAATTTTGAATTCAGCTCTTGTCCTCTCTTGAAAGGCTCTAATTTCCATTCTGAAACCATGCCCCTGAATTTCGATGCCTGCCAAGGCTGTTGGCAGCCTTTTCTATATCTTTGGAGATGGCACTGCCCTGGTTCACTCTCTTCCCTTAGTCTATCTCTTCACTTGTCTTATCCCAAGTCAGCTGAGAACCAGAACTAGACCACTGCTATGGGACAGTGGATGTTTCTCTGGAGCAAGGCATGATCCTGAAACTTCCCTACCCCATGAATGGCCCCTGTTTCTTTGTAGCTTTGAAGATTATTCTGATTTGATGGTGTGTAGAATCCGTTCATTGGTTTAATCTGAATGGCTTATTCCTCTAAACCATTCACCAACAGCATTTCAGATGGAAAAAGCCTGAATATTGCAGCAATCCTCTAGGAAGCAGCCAGGTAGTTCCCCAGGATCTCTGGGAAACAGAATCAGTTCGTCTGCATAGACTCAAGATTTAGGATGCTGTGATGATGGCCTCTTTTATCAGGGACATTTGTTTAATAACTCAAGAGAACAATCCCAGTGATTGCTTACACTGGATGTACCTAAACCCTACCTAAGCCCTCCTGGATGATTACTCTCACAGTTGCCTGTTAGTACTGTGCTTCTCTTTCTGTCCTGTGCTATGCAGGATATAGAGGGGGCATTTGTGAAGGCGAATCTGCTTACTGTAACTCTTTCTCTTCATTATTTGCAGAAAACCGAATTGATCAGGAGGGGCTGAAAGGACAAGAGTCAGCTGCCCCCAGGTAATTCTGAATACTTGGGGGCTGTGAATTCAAAAGTGTCACCCAGGGAAAAGCAGAAAGTGCTGAAGAAAACTATATTATCCGTTGGGTCAATGACAAATTATCCATTTTCACAATGTTCTCTGTGTTCATTGTTGTACTTGGATTGCTTCCCATTTCTTAATTACTTCTCGAGTTGAGTAACCCACAGTCAGCTGACCGAGGTGAACTAATATGGCACAGGGATCGCTGTGCTTGCTCATTCTCTCCTGTGTGCTTTAGAGAGACATGCACATCTGCTTTCTGCCTTTAGATTTCGCATGTTGACGTGTTCATAACATGAAAATATCACAGCAAGTAGACAAACATATTCTATCATGCCACAATGTTCAGAGAAAGAGGCCTTCCTGGCATGAGATTTCTGTGCCAGTGGACTGCCCCCAAAGCTGCCCACGCTTGGCCACTACATGCAGAACTCAATGCCATTTGAATGGAAGGGGGAAAGCCACCATTCTGGGACTCTGTCTGTTGTGAATCATGACTGGACGGCACAGAGATAATTCAGTCTCTTTCTTCACAAGCTTGCTATTTGGCCTGTACACTGAGCACTTGTCCTTCGATCTGCTGCCCCTGTGACAAACACAACTTGTCCCACAAAAACAAGAGTTGTTTCTCTCTTTAATGGGTCCTCCCTCTCTTTGCTTTCTTGACCACTCCTTTCTGCCTTCCATCCAAGCCAGACAGGACATATGATTTCAGATCCCTTTAGGTTAATCTTCAGTTGTCCCCACCCTGCAGGCTCAGCAGACAGCTGGTAGAGGTGGTAGAGCAGGACATCTCAAGGGACTCTCAGGGTGAACACTACTTGACATATTCCGTTCTTCCCGACCTGTCTGACTCCTACTGGCCTTACAGGAGCACCGCCATCTTCCTACCTGAGGAACTGGAAGTCTGTTCCTCTCTGGAAGCGACCAGTGAGTACTCCATTGTCCAGGTGATCAAGCTCCACCTGGACACCCACAAAGATCTCCTGTTCTTTGTACCCCAGACCTCTGCTGTGCCGAGAGAGGTCATCCCTGTGGGCAGGGATGTTGTAGGCTCTCTTCCTACTCCCAGGGCATGCCCATGTCACCTTGGCTTCTCTGTCAGGTCGTTGTTGGGCCAAGGCAGGCACCACAAACTCAACTCACCTCAGCCACATGACCATAGAAGGTGTCTGTCAGACCTAGTGTGGATGACATGTCTCTTTTCACCTGTAATAAGCTCTAGGCTTCATCTCTGAGCCGGGTCCCTTAAGAATCTATGCTGGCCGCAGTCACTTGGCATTCTTGTCCAGGGTTAACTGGTTTTGCTGTTCTTAGTCCCATTCTCTGTCTCCTTTAGGTTGGCTTGTCTTCCTAAACGGTTGTCTGAAAACCACCCTAAGTGTCTCCACTGATAGCTTGTTTATGTTTCCAGAAGCACAGCTGTGCCTTGGCATTCTCCCACCACATGAATTGGGCCAATGTTCTGAGTAGCACCAAAGACTCACTTGAATTGGAGGGTTTGTAGTTGCATTCCATCTGTTCAGTCTCAATGTACCAATTCCACTAAGCCTTCAACAACCAGCTATCTGATGAGAGAAGGCTGAACGCTGCAGTCATCCTTTTCGAATGCAGGGAGGCTGGCTCCCCAGAATTGGTGTGAAAAAGAGAAGTTAAAGTGCTTGCACAGACTTACGACAGGGGAAACTGTGATGCTAATCTCCTAGACGATGTAAATTTTTCCAAATGCCTCGGGCTGGGAAATCAAGCCAGTTATCCCAAGACAATATCGGAGGCACCCTGAAATACTCTTCTGACTAAACCTGTTCTCACACTGAACATATCTGAGTGCGTGGGTAGCATGAGACACTGGATTATTAACGTACCAAGAAGGATCTCCTTAATGAGCGGCCCTGTCTGTATATATTTCCAGAAAATCAATTCCATCAGGAGGAGGAAGAAGACCAGGACCAGATATGCCCCAGGTAACTCTGAAGACTCATGGGTTGTTATTTCAGTGCTTCAACTGAAGGACTGCATTTCGAGGGAAAAATAGGAATTGCCGAACATACTTATTTCATCCGTTCTCCAATCACAAAAAGTCTCTTTTAACCATGATGGGTGTCTTCACTGTGTAACATGGTTAAGTTCCTTTTATTGACCCCTCCATTTCAGTAACCTGCAGTCAGTTGAACTTGGTGAATTAATCAGTCACTGGGATTCTCTGCATTCCCCTCTTCTCTCTTTTTGTAAAACCAGAGTGAGAGGCATATCTGCCTCTCCCTCTTTGGTCTTACCACACTGAAGATATATTATAGCCAAAGAATATCTAGGATAAAATTCACATCATGTCACAATAGTTAGAGAGAGAGGCATTGAAGACACAAGATCTCTCCATTTTGAAGATGCTTTTTAACTCCCGGGTTCACTTGGTCAATACAATTTATGTCAAAGTGTTGAAGCCAACTTTGGGATTCTCCATGCATGTTGTGAGTCAAAACTTCCATTCCACAATAGTTCAGTTTGTTGTTCAGAAGCTTAGTTCTGTGGCCACTGCCCTGGGCACCTTCTCTTCTCTATGCCTACTGCCCCCACAGCAGCCACACTCTGCCCCCGAAACAGGAGGATAGTTTTTGCCGTCAATAATGGGTGTGTCCCTTTGTTATGAGTCTAATTTGCCGCCGCCGCCCATCAAAACCATTAGGATGCTGGGGTGTCTAATTTTCTTGTCTTAATGTTCAGATCTCCCCACCCTACCAGGTTCAGCAGGGAGCTGCCGGTGGTGGAAGAGCAGGATGCCCCATGGGACTCACTGGATGAATGCTATTTGACTTCCTCAGCACTTCCTGACCTGTCTGACCCCCACGGGACTTCTAGGAGGGCTGACATCAACTCATTCCAAGATCTGGACATCTGTTGTTCTCTGGAAGTAGCTAGTGAGTCCTCCATTGTCAAGGTGATAAAGCTCCAACAGGACTCCCAAGTGGACCCACTATTTTTGGTATCCCAGCCTCTGGTTCCGCTGAGATGTGTCATTGCTGTGTAGAAGCCCGGTAGACATAGGGATCTGAGTCAGGCTCTAGGATAGACTTTTCAGCATAGACATCAGGTGAGTCAGGGACCTGCCCTTTGTTCCTCATCTCAGGCCATGCTTCTGGCTCCTGACAGAAGTTAGGACATTGGAGTCAAGGCAGATGTGACAAACTCACACTCAGTTTTGCTGCACATGCAGAGGGGTGTGTCTTTGTTCCTAATTTCCTTTAAATGTGTCTCCTCATCTGCGATGCTCTCGTTTTCATACCTGAACAACGTCCCTTGAATATTTGTGCCTGTCCAAAGATGCTGTCAGCCTTACCTGTATCTTTGGATTTGTCGTTTGCCTGCTTTGACTGCACTGATCCCCAGTGTCTGTGTCCTCCGTGTTGGCTGTCTCGACTGAGTCATCCCTGGAGTATCAGGACATCAACACCTCTACCATCAGCTTGCTTGTATGTTTCCCCAAAGCAAAGCTGAGCCTGGGCATTGCCCCTGCCCATGCATGGCTCATATGTCTGTGTGGCACAAAGGATTGTACACAATAGATTCCTGTTGATGTGAAGGTTTGCAGATTCCATCCACCAGTCTGGTCTGTGGGTCTAAATTCCCTTAAACCCTCACACCTAGAGCATCTCATGGGATAAGGTAATGAGAGAAGGTTGCGGTACGTTTTTCGAATGCAGGTAAGCTGTTCCCCCAGAATCTGTGGCAAAACAGATGTTTCCCTCTGTACACGGACTCTTGAGCTGTGGCTCTATCACAGCAGGGAGCTCATGCCCGGTGCTTTAGGAAAGCAAACCAAGGCACAATCCCAAGACACTACCTGAGGCCTCCTGGACGATTTTCTCTCACAATATCCTGCTGCCCCACTAAGGATAATTATGCCCATGTACTAGTTGTATCGGATACTTAATTTTAATGTACTAATGTTCTGTTTAATATGACTGGACCTGTCTGTATCTGTTTGTAGAAAATCATACTGATCTTTCGGTGGAAGACCAAGACCGGATATACCCCAGGTAACTCTGAAGAATCATGGGCTTTAATTCAATGGTGATCTCAGATCTAGGCAAATTTAGAAAGTGCTAAATGTACCTATTTTACCCATTCAGCTACCCACAACGTGGTCCGTTAGCAATGTTCTCTGTTTCACTGTGGTACTTCTATAGGCCCCTTTCTTAATCCCTCCCAAATGTAGGAACCTCTAGTCCATTGATGCAAGTATCCTAAGCAATCACAGGAACTGTTCGTATTGGATCAATCCAAAATGCCCGTCTGTCGCTGCTGGTTTCGCATTATGATGTTGGCAGGAATTCATGGCAAGGAAAGTGTTTAGTAAAAAAAAAATTCACGTCTCAGTATTTAGACAAGTAGGCGTTGAACACACGAGCTTTCCAGGACTCTACAATGCTGCCAGTCTGGGGTTGTCTTGGTGATTTCTGTAAATTTCAACAAAATGTATGCAACGGTGTGATGGTGGTTTTATTGTTTTCTGAGTGTTCTGTGTGTTGTGACTCTTGTGCACAGGGTGGTTCAGACTGCTTCCCTTAAACTCCCATTCTGGCCATGCTCTGAGCACCTCCTGCTCTCACTCTCTCCCTGCCTCCCTGATCTATCCCCAGTGCAGCTACACTCTGGCCCCAGAGAGAGGCAGAATGGTTCATCTCCCTTGAAGGGACTTCCCATTGGTTTCCTGTGACCAGTCCCTCCTCCCTGCCAACAACACCAGCTGGGACTCCGTGTTGACTCAACCTTCTCGTTGCATCTCCTGTCCTCCCTGTAACACCAGGTTCCCCAGGGAGCTGCCAGTGGCAGAAGAGAATGAAGTCCCACAGGACTCACTGGACGAATGTTATTTGACTTCTTCAGTTGGCCATGACCTGCCAGACACCTGGAGGCCGTATACAAGTGCCTCATCCATAATTGATAAGCCGGAAACCTTCCTGGGTCTGGATGGAGATGGTAAGTACTCCCATGTGAGGGACACAACGTTCCTGGGGCTCCCAGGAAGCCTGTCTTCTCTGTATCCAACAACCTAAATAGGCTGAGACATGCACCCGTGGCAATAGGCCCTGTAGACTCAAGCTGGTTTGAACTCTGCCCTTGGATTTAATTTTGAAAACATTGGGACTCCCAGGTGGTTCATTTGGTTATGCATCCAGCTCTTGATATCCACTCAGATCTTCAACTCAGTGTTGTGAGCTCAAGCCCCAGGTTAAGCTCCACACTGGTTGTGGAGACTACTTAAAAAAAAAAAAAAAGGTATCTTGTGGATCCAATTTCCTTTCCTTCTGTCGCAGACTACCTTCTGTCACCTGGCCCCCTCACAAGTGCAGGCTGTTGGTACCAAGTCAGGTTAGAGAGGAGAAATGGAGGGAAAAGGGCAACAACTCAGGCACCACTATCTCCCCTGGAGACGTCTGGGTAACAGGCCTCTTTTTATTTCTTTCCAGAAGAATCTTGTGCTGCCCATGAAATTTTATTGCCAATTGTACTTCCTGTGTGCTTCCTGCAAACTCTCTGGCTCTCCACACAGGTTTCCAGTCAGCTCCCTATCTGTAGCATCTGTGATATTGTTGCTGATTTCAAAGTTTTTGCTCCTGGGGTGACTACGTTCCTCTGGAGCATTTAGATGGAAGATCCTGAGCATTGAGTCCTGCCTGTACAGTATGGTTTCAGTGAAGCCAAAGCTCTAGCCCTGGTTTTCCATCCTCCACGGATGGCGTGCTTGTCACCCTTTCTGCAGCATCAGTGGTTTTCTCCCCCGTGTGGATATGTTTTCAGTCACGTGTCTGCTCAGTGGCGTAAGTCCTGTAAATGATCAATGGCCTGTGCACCTGACATGGGTATGGCCTCATTCAGGAGCAAAGCAGAGTTGTTCCCCTCTCCAGATTCTTCAGAACATGCTGCCTGCTGAGCAAGACCCCCTTGGGGCCCCACTCGCATAGGAGTGCAGGCTAAAACCCAATTTCCCATTTCTTCCCACTCAGGTTATTTTTCGGCCTTCCCTTCTTGGAGAAGCATTTGCATTGTTAGGAGACTTTCTTTGCTCATCAAATCACCTTGTAGGAGCAGCAAGGAGTATATGATGTTCCTTACCATGTCAATGTTGTCTAGTGAAATTGGCCATGGAAGGTTTTGTCCCTCAACCCTATTTGGTCAGTAACAGCCTTTCCACACTAGGACCACCTTCTCCCCTGTTTCCCATCCCTCCCCGAGGGGCAAAGAAGCAAAGGATTCCTCGAGATTATAGCAACTCAGGAAGCAGAAATGAAACACACAGTTATTTTGCTTTTGTTGTCTACCATGCCCTTTCCCGTGCCCGCTCAGCAGCAGCTCTGTTAGGCTGGAAGCATTGGGTCCCCACAGGGACACTCTCCAGTCCACGCCGAATCTCCTGTGACAGCTGAGGGTGCTGAGCCTCACCAAAGTCACGTCACTTGCCCAAGACCCCTGGCCAGTGGGGAGTGGGACGTCAGACTCACCAGATCAGACTGTCATTGCTCACAAGTCAGTCCTGTCAGGGAGTAAGTGGGGATGGGGCTCACCCTTTCATCTCTGCTTTTGTCCCAAATTATTTGAAACAGTTGTAAATGTAAACAAAAATGTTGCAAGAATGCCCGAAAGACCCCTGTGACCCAGCCACATATCCGCCAACTCCTACCTTGTGAGTCAGTCTGTGGTGTGAGCAGAGCCAGTGGCTCATCCAGCCCCTCCGGGAGATGAACGTCTCCAAGAGGCTCTCCATCCAAAAGCAATCAGGGCTGAGGGGTCCCGGGCCTTTTCTGCTGCCACCAGGGGGCGCATGGAGGCTCCTCCCTTGGCTGCCTGGCACCCTTGTAAGGTTGCGCAGTTCTCTCTGAGATGCTGACGGCCAGGTGTGGGTTCCCATCGGGGCAGGGATGAGAAAGATTCAGACACATGTCTCAGAAGGCAGGTGTGTGTGATATGGCCTTCCATTCACCCTGGACCAGGGGGGCATAATTCACCCACGTGGATGGGCTGAGATGAGTGAACACAGCGTCTACATTAGACACTGTCTGTCCAGGTGCGGGTTCCGACGGCAGCGTGTGAACAGTGGGCATGGGCTGTGATTCCAGCAGCAGGGTCGCAGGAGGGCTACCCGGCCCAATCCTCCCTGCACAGGGAGAAACCCTGTAGAAACAGTCCAGTCTCACCCGAAATGCCAACCTCATCTTTGCTCTAGGGCTTTTCCCCACCAGCCAAACTAAAAATAGTGGGCAGTCCTTCAGAGTTTGATAAAATATTTTCCCTTTTCTTCTGCATTTGCAAAGCATATTGTATGAGTAGATTAAATGAAGCCTGGCAGTTGAGAAAAGAGCCGTAAAAGAACATGAGGACATTAGGAGTGATAACTTTAAACACACTTAGACCTTCATTCAAGATAACGTTTGAGAATGGGCAACCTGGTTTTGACAACTCCTTCCCCAACCAGATGTGCTAATTGCAGAGGATTTAGCCTTTCCCCCAGTAGGAAGTATCATCAAATCTTATGACATGTCCTCAATTATGAATGGCTAGTACACTGTGCCTCGAGGACTGATGGAGAGCCCACCGATCCGAGAGACATGTTTGTGGCAGAAGACCTGGGAGCTGGGGAGACACCTGGTGTGGGGCTGGGAGAAGTGATGCTGGAGGACAGAGAGGGACCATAAGATCGAGGGACACCAGAGGCAGGGTGAGGAGTGGACTGTGTGCAGCAGAGAGGGCAGTGAGTGTTCACCAGCACGGTGGGCTTGTGGGAAGACAGGACTTGGGGGCATCGACAGGGCAGCCGAAAAGAGCAGATAGAAGGAGGTGGGGGAATCCATGGTGAGAGGAGATACAGGGTGCTGCCAGGGAGACTAATCAGTCACAGATTCTTGGAAACCATTTGTAGTGACAGGTGAACAGACTGGTGAGAAGGAGATGCACACAGGGGACCAGGGCCCACGGCAGGGAGGTGCCACGGCCTTCCTGAGGCTGACCTGCTCTGGCGAGAGGCTGTGGCAAGTCTCTGGTTAGCCCCCTTTCTGAGAACACGGACTCCCTTCACAGTAGCAATCTGAGCACCTTTGATTAGGGACTGCAGCCCAGACCTCACTGAGGAGTGTGTGATGCAAGGACTGGGCGCTGTATGCCCTCCCTGAAGACCCACAAGTCTGATCCTGTAGCACCTCTGGCCTGGAAGTTTCCAAAGGGACTCAGACCCCTGCTACATTACTTAGAGCTGTTGGTGCCTCCCCCAATGGGAATGGAATATATCGAATATAGATGTGTGGATGGGGGAAGGGAAACAAATAGTGCAGAGGAGAAACTTCAAAAGCCTCCGGAGCTGTGAAAAGTTCCCATAACTTTGTCCGTGGTCCCTTCTCTAGTGGTACCTGAAGCATCTAGAGGTCCCCTTTGCAACTCCCTTCTTTAGTGGTACCCGAAGCCTCGAGGCCGAACTTCCTTCCCTGTTCTTTTTGTTTCCGGTACACACCGGCAACTCCTCCCCATGTCCTGAGGCCTCTCTAGGACCTTCTCTCTAGGCTGTAGGACCAAGGTTACTACTAACAGAATGATAGGCATGAGCTCGTGTGCCCATCCAAAGGCCCTGTGGGGTCAAGGGGAGGATTTTCACCTCAGGGACTTTGCAGGCTGGGCACCTGCCATCCCAGCAGCCCCAGGCTGGGACACAACGGTGACATCTCCTTCATACACATGACGTCTGCTTTTGTGCCTGCTCGCAGGGTGGTCTCACTGACAGGCGGGGACATCAGACATGGGTGGTCTGGGAGTGCTCAGCTATGGAGCCCGGGGATTCAGCCCATTGAAATCTCTTCTTGCTTCAGCTCCGATGCAGGCTCCCTGTCACCAAGGGCCATCAAGTGGAAACTGGACTTTCCAAAGAGCAGAGGTGCAAACTTCCGGAGCACAGACACAGCCAAGCACCCAGGTGGCCAATATTCTGACACCGCAGCTGGACCAGCAGTTGGATTCTGGTGACAACAGAGCCAGGCTCGGCCTCTCCTGCACCCTCGGGAGCCTGGATGCCAAGATGGGTTCTGGGAACCAATGGCCCCTCTTTCAAGGTGAGTGGGGAGAGGAGTAGGAAGTTCTGGTCCCCACGTTGGTCATCACCGACTCCTGGCTGGAGGCCCCACTGGGGTGAGGTCGAACCTCACGATGCTCCAATACAGTGAGGTGAGCAAATCCTGTGTTTAGTAGCAGCTCTGCCCCAGGTCCTGGGCTTGCGCCTTCCTGGCTGTTTAACTGGCCAACGTAGTCATCTTCTTCCATATTGTCCCCTCAGTCCCCTCTTCGGAACCGCTGAAAATGGTATCTCCGTTCCATCAATGCTGGGAGCATGAAACCACATCTTTTCTAGGGGGCTTGATTCAACAACAATTGCTTGATAACATCTATGAATTTGTCGTGTCTAATTCTTGGGCCTCTGTGGTGCTTTAACACTTGGAAAATGGTGTCAGGGCTTGTTTCATGCAGGGTGGTCGGTTCCTACCGGCCCCACTTCCCCAAACCCCATCTCCCGTGGCTTTCTCAGGAAGGCTCGTGTGCCCCGTTTCCTCTCCTTCAGCATCTCCAAGCCCATCTTCCCTGTTCGGTGCTCACAGTCACAATGGAAATACTGGTCTCCCGGTTAGTTTTGTTTTTTTCCCTTTTCTAAAGAAATAAGGGGCCACTTTCTTACATAAAGTGCACGCGTCACTCTCTCCGCTGATCCTCCGTCTAGTTCATCTTTTCCCCTCATCTCTGGGGCCTCGTTCCCAGCTTCCTGCTCATCAGGATCCACCTCTGCTCAGATTTCCTGACGTCTGAGATTTTCCACCCTCCCCTGGGTCGTGTCTTCACTACCCTCCCCTGGGTCATGTCTTCCTTACCCTCCCACACTCAGTGTCCCTTCCTGGAACCTGGGGTGGCCCGGGGCTACTCTGTCAGGCACCAAACAACCTGAGAAATGAAGAATCGCCGTTCCCACGTGGCGGTGACATATGCAGCAGCACGGTGGCACCAGGGAGGGGCCCCAGAGAAAGAGCTCAGTGAGTGTTCGGGGATGCACAGCCCCAACAAGGGCCGTTGAACGTCACCTACTTACTGTCTTCCCCCTCGAGCCTCTCTGTCACTTCTCCTCAGTGCCCACGGTCTCGGCCCCGACTCACCCCACTGGCTCAGTCCCTCTCTCTGGGACTCACCTTCCACAGAGGCCTGAACAGAAAACCAGGCTCCGTGCCAGGGTCTTTGTCCATTCTGGCGAGTATAACAGAAACGCCACAGACAGGCTGACTTGTCCACAACAGAAATCGATAACTCACGGTTCTGCCGGCGCCGTAGATCCACAATCCAACAGGTGCATCTTCGGGCCTGGTGACACTGCCTTCGTGGTTCAGAGGTGGCCGCCTTCTTGCTCTGTCCTCACAGGGCGGAGGGACGAGGGAGCTCTTTGGGGTCTCTCTTTTGGGCATGAGTCCCTTTGATGGGGGGATCTGCCTCCCAAAGTTTCACCCCACAATACCATCACATTGGGGATTAGGTTTCAACCTATGAACTGGGGGTGAATACAAACTATCCCACTGTGGCAGGTGGTTTCATTCTGCTCCCCCTGAAATCCTTCCGAGGTGTTGAACAGGTCACCTGTTTCTCGCCACTGCTTTTCTCTTTCCTCTTGAATTTGTGTATTTTTTCCAATTTCAACTGACCAGAAAGGGGGTGAGAAGGTTATGCTCCATGTCCCCCAAATCCCTATTTAATCATTTTCTCAATTAGATACATACGTACATACAGACACACGCCTCTATATCTTATGTCACATACATGACGTATATTATACCTAGTGTTCATATAGGAAATGTACCATATGTTGAGGCGTGTTGTGTAAATTCCCCAGCTTTCTCTTCCCTGGTTGCTCCTCAAAGTCTTCCCTTCAACTTTGACGTTGGCTGATCTCTACAGTCTCTTCCCTCCAATAGGACGGCCTCTTTCCAGCATGATTTCCTTGCCTTTGTCTTCTCTTCCCCGGAACTACCTCTCTTTACCATTTCTGTTTCTCTCGATTTCACTTTTGTCGGTTGTGAGCACGTTGGCCTCCTGGTCCTCTTATCCTTACAGGGTAGTGTGAGAGAGAAGAAGAAAACAGGAAATAATCAAAGTGTGTCCACTGGCTTCCCCTCACCTGTGACCTGTCGGATGGCCTTTCTCATTCTGCCCACTGTCCTTCTTTGGCGTCAGTGCAGGTGGAGGCTCAGAAGGCTCATGAATCACAGCAAATCCTGTTGATGTGCTTTTCTTTTCAGAGCTGGGTTTGGAAGCTTCCATCTGCATGAAGAACCCTCCCAAGCTGGATGGTGATGCTGCAGAGGGCTCAAGGGACAGCCAGCGTGGGTGTCACGTCTTGGGCCCCATGAAAGCCCTCGGTGCCATGAAACAGAAGATTATCAAGAGGAAACTGCAGTTCGGCAAGTGGAGACTCGCAAGCACATTCCGTGGCCTTCAAGCTTCGGGCACAGAGGTGATCACACATACGTGGCTCTGGGGCACGGATTCCTCTTACTCTCCTTCTGATTCTACCTCCACCCACCCCCAAACACACACACTCCTTGTTCTCTTCCTCAGTTGGTCACCCTCACAGCTGGTGCTACCTCTGTCTGGTCTTAACTCTGCTTCCCACGGGGCTGCCTCCCTGCCTTTGAGCCCCCTTCCTCAGAAAGCAGTGGCCCGCACGCGCTTCCATCTCCATCACCTGGTTGCATCTGGCCCTCCTCAGCAGAGCGGCATCATTTACACATGTCGCCAAGCAAGTGGAACTTTTCGGGAAATCACACAATTTCTTGGCCTCTGTCTTCCTTCCCTGCTTCCCCAACCCAGGCCTCCTTCTCCCAGGAGCATTGTCTTAATGAGTCACTTGCACAAGGCTTCTCCTCCGGGGTCTTTCAGGAAATCTGACCTAGGAGGACACGTAACCCTCAACTTCTCCCTGTGAATAAGAAGCGTTGAAGCTGAGGAGAAAGTGCCCCCACGACAAAATATAGATGAGAACCCGAGTCACAGCTGGGAGTGCCACACTGGACCGGCTGGAGTCAGGTTTCTCCTCCACCCCTATAATATAGGATACAGGAAGAAATCCATATTGCATAAAAAGCCAGTGTCCAAAACATAATCCCTTCCCTGATCAAAGGTCAAGGAATTTAGTGCTTTCTTTCCTCCTATGACAATGAAAAGGACAGTTCACTAGTAACTAAGTGGATTTCACAGCCCCTGACAGGTTCAGTGCAGTTTGAAAGAAAATATTTTAGTCAAATTTTGCCCTTTGACACCAACTCAGTAAAGCAGCTTAGGTCTCATTCTCCTGTGTTAATCCATTTGCAGGCCCTTCTTTACACCAGGAAACACTGACAGCCTATGTCCTTAGGGAAAGTTTGGAAAAGAAGGGATGAGAATCTAGAGAGCTAAAACTAATGCTTTCTCATTTTCACGTAAGAGTTTGTGAGTCTATGTAATGAGCATATTCCTAGAAATGCCCTAAGGTCTATCCTGTGTGAGATTACCTTCCGAGAATGTTGGTGTCCCTGAGTGAAAATGACTAGGGCCATGGTTACACCCCTGCTCCCTTTGTGTGAATTGCCCTTTGAGTTTCTCGTTCTTGGGTCCTTCCCTCAGCCCCTCTGGGCTTGTTTCTGTCCAGCCAAGTGACCAACAGTGTCTACTGCCCGCCCACACCTCCAGATCAGAGGCTTCGCTCTCCCTTCCCCCAGATGTTTGCACAGGGCCTGAGCCTGGGTTTCAGTCCAGGGTTTTCAGGCACAGGTCACATGGCTTTCGGGGCTCCTTAGTGCCTTGGATGACAGCTCCTCATCTGCACATGGCAGAAAGGAACTTGGAGATATTCAGAGGCCCCTGTTGGCTCTCACAGTCTAGGACTCATTCCGTAGCCTGGACTCCGCCTCAGAAGACTGGGACAAAGGTGAGAAGGGGGTGTGTTTGTCTGCCAAGGGTCCCCTCCTTCCCACAGCAGTCTGTTTCTGAACGTATGTGTTGGGTGCTAGGTCCATCCCTCGCTGGGAGGCGTGAGAAAGCCTCAAGAGTGAAGTGGCCGCTGAGGGAGAGGTAGTTGCGATCTGGCAAAAGCTCACAGCAGCCTTGAGCTGGGATATCACCTGGCTCCCACTGGCGGGAGCACAGGGGTCCCTGGATCCTGCAACACAGGCTGCTTCTCACTTTGGTGAAGTATTGCTTTTGACCTGTGGCTCTCACTCTCCCCCTCAGCCTACCTGTGGCTCCCCCTTCAGCTTCTTCTCTGGACAGGGGTTCAGCTTGCTCCTAGCCTCTGTCACCATGTAGCCACCCCTCCAGGCTCAGCTGTCAGCAGGATCTGAGCAAGACTCGCATTTGGTTTCTCTCTCTCTTCCTCTATCAGATACCAAGTCCTTCAGAAACTAAGAAAAGAGATTGAATGAAACTTCACTTGAATGAAACCCCATCATAAAATCCCATCATAAAACCCCATGATTTTCCACTTGATGAAAGGAAATCTAGAGCAGCGCATCGAGTTACAACCCAAGCAGAGCACAGGAGGGATCCTTTGCTGAGAATCAACATCACGATCACAAGCCATTCTCTGTGATTTGGGCTGCAAAAGACTGGTTGGAGGAGAGAAATTCTAGCCCTTCAGCTGCAGTTGTGATAAATCGCTAAGGACACCAATGCCTGAGTAGATCACACACAGTTTTGAGAGACCGTAAGTCTTGCTGTTCTCAATGCCATCCTGCAGAGAACCGGAGTCAGGAGCATCATGGAAAAAGACCACATGTCATACTGGACATTCTGGGCCACCAGATGGGCTCTGCTAGGAGCACACAGCATTAACTACGCAGTGTTCCTGCTGGAGAGCTTTAGCCTGAATTTGAGCACGAGGTAGTGATCAGACAACTTCAGGATGTAGAACATTGAACAGGATGAATGGCCTGTGTCTTCAAACAGTCAGTGTCACCACAAATAAGAGACAACAAAAAGGAGAAGAGGTATTTGGGGTTTCAAAGGACTAAAAAGAACGTGTGACTGTATTTCTTTAGTCCTTTCCAACCCAAAACATCTCCTCACCTTTGGGTTGCTGTCTCGGTGGTGGTGACATTCCCTTGTTTGTAGGGGACAGGCCAGATGTCCAGCTGAATGGCCTACAACCTGAAGTCGTCTGATCATTTCCTCCTGATTAAATTCAGCCTAACCCTTTGGCCAGGACACTCCGTAGTTACCGCTGTGTGTGTCCCAGCTCAGCCCACCCGGAGACCACGCGTGTCCAGTTTGCCCATCACCATTCTGGTGGTAGCAACACTGGGTATTTTGCTGGGGAAGGGCCTTTGCCATCTGTTCATAGCAAGACACACGAGTTTCTTTCTAAAATTAGTGATTTGGTAAGTGGTACTCTGTGAATGTATGCAGATCCTCTTCTCCACAGTCTTTCTCTAAAATGTTGCCATCTTTTAAGGATCCCGACAGTGTGTCATAACCCTTTGTGTGTTTGTGTATTGGAAGAATTCCGACTTTATCATTCCCACACAACATGTATCTGCTGGCAATGTGATGTGGAAAAGAACATTCCCTCCCTGTTCATTATCATTAAAGGTTTTGTTTTGACAATCACGTGGACTATTGATTTTTTACATTTGATGCTCTAATCTGTTACTATCATGGCCATTTGGTGGATCTGGATACCCAGTAATGCAAATATTCTTGGTTCTCCTCGTCATATTTAATGCTGAGTCTCCATCTCTTTTAGGCTAAACATACCATACAGAAAAGAAATTTTGGCTGTGTTTGTCTCTCTGTGGCATGGGTTTTCTTTTCTGTGTGTGCACCTGTGTGTGTCTATATGTGAGTTTGGGGTTTAGGAAGGGTGTATAGGCAGGGCTGAGCATTGCACCAAAAGGTTTTGGACACGTTTGGTTCCTTCTTAGCTTGTGAAACTTTTCACATTCAGTCTCTCATTTTTAAGTGATCTCTTAACCTCAAACTGTTGGCATTATTCTATTTTCTCTTTCCTTCTGATTGATGGGGGGCTTGACCCTGGGACCCAGGGATCATGACCTGGGCCAAAAGCAGATGCTTAACCGAATGAGCCAAAAGGTTTTGGACATGTTTGGTTCCTTCTTAGCTTGTGAAACTTTTCACATTCAGTCTCTAAGTTTTAAGTGATCTCTTAACCTCAAACTGTTGACATTATTCTATTTTCTCTTTCCTTCTGTCTTAACCTGCCTCTTCTTATACTCTTGTTTCCACACAGTGAAACAGATGCCATTTACATCCTATTTTCCCCACCTGCTCCACTCCCAGATTCTTGTTTTAGATGTACAGTTAAGTCGATTCAACACTGCTCAGCTGTTCGAAAGTCGAAATTTCCCCAGTCATCTCTCGTTGGATGGATTTCACCTTCAAAGGACAGCTAGTGATGGATTCAGGACTCCCTGAGGGTTCCATATTGAATACTCTTTTTCTACTGCCTGCATACATGGACATCCTACCTGAGTAGAAAGTACTTGCACAATGGGATTTTACTGAGCTTTAAAAATAGAGTGCTTTCTCAGGGAAATACAAATCCAAACCACAGTGAGATACCACCTCACACCAGTCAGAATGGCTAAAATTACCAACTCAGGAAACAACAGATGTTGGCAAGAATAGGGAGAAAGGGGAACCCTCTCACACTGTCGGTGGGAATGCAAACTGGGGCAGCCACTCTGGAAAACACTTTGAAGTTTCCTCCAACAGTTAAAAATAGGAATGCCTGGGTGGCTCAGTCAGTTAAGCATCTGCTTTTGGCACAGGTCATGATCCCTGGGTCCCGGGGTCAAGCCCCCCATCAGGCTCCCTGCTCAGCGGGAAGCCTGCTGCGCCTTCTGCCTGCCGCTCCCCCTCCTTGGGCACTCGTGCTTTCTCTCTGGCAAGTAAATAAATAAAATATTTTTAAAAATTAGAAAGTTAAAAATACAGCTACGTATTAAGCCACAATTTATTTATTTAGAAAAAATAAAGGTATTTATCCAAAGGATACAAACATAGTGTTTTGCAGGGGCACCTGCACCCCAATGTTTATAAGAACAATGTCCACAACAAACTATGGAAAGAGTCCAGATGTCCATCGACAGATGAATGGATAAAGAAGATGTGGCATCTATACATACGATGGAATACTACTCAGCCACCAAAAAAATGAAATCTTGCCATTTGCAACAACATGGATGGAACTAGAGGGTATTATACTAAGTGAAATAAGTCAGCCAGAAAAAGACAAAATACCATATGATTTCACTCATAGATGGAATTTAAGAAACAAAACAGAAGAATATAAGGAAAGGGAAGGAAAAATAAGAGGAAAACAAAGAGGGAGACAAACATAAGAGACTCAACTATAGAATACAAACTGAGGGTTGCTGGAGGGGAGGTGGGTAGGGGAATGGCGTAAACTGGGTGATGGGCATTAAGGAGGGCATTTGATGTAATGAACCCTGGGTGTTATATGCAACTGACATATCATGGAATTCTTCTGTAAATTATTTTATTTATTTATTTGAGAAAGAGAGCATGAGAGAGTGAGAACACAAGCAGGAGAGAGGGGTAGAAGGAGATGGAGAAGCAGACTCCTTGCTGAGCAGGGAGCCGGATATGGGACTTGATCCCAAGATGACCTGAGCCCAAGGCAGACGCTTAACTGACTGAGCCACCCAGGTGCCCTGAATCACTGAATTCTACCTCTGCAACTAATAATACAGTAAATGGTAATTAAATGGAATTTAAATTAAAAATTTCAAAAGAAAAAAATATATATTGCCTTGCTTTGTATGTTTGTTTGGGATATCCATTGGATATAAAGTGGTCATTTTGGTGGTTGCTGGGGGGCAAGTCTGTAGCTTCAGAGGAGTTTTCTTCTTTTTCTTTGAAATCTATTAGTTCTATGAAGATAGGTCTTAGCGTTGGCTCCTCTGGTTCCGTCTCCCGCAAGCATCCAGGACTTTCTCTGCGACCCTGTCTCAGTATCTTTTGTTCATTTCTATTCTCTTGGCTGCTTTCTTTTCTGTATTCAATGTCCACTATAATTTCGCACCCATGTTGCCCTTATGAATCTTGTTGATCAGCCTCTTTTCCAGAGAATTTTTGTTCAGTTTTTTCCTAGTCTTGCCAATTCTAGTTTCCCATTTCTTGTTTATTGCCCACTTCTCTTTGGAGTTGTGTGTTTGTTAAATGAACTTTTACCTTTTCATGTCTACAAATGCTTGTTCGTACATTTCATTCAGGTCGGGATGTGATTTTACAGTTTTCCTATGTTTTGTGATTGATTTCAGGGGGGATCTTTACTGAGCTGAAATGTTTGACTCTCTATTTCTCCTTGTTTTGTTTTCTTCTGTCACCTTGGGACACCGGTCTGCTCTGCATTTTCACTTTAACACACCTGGGTTTGCTGGAATGAGAAACAAAATTCCACGTAGGAACGGATGAGTGCTCTGAGTAGCTTAGTGGATTTCTGAGGTCTGGATCCCTCTCTTTGGTGTAATTATTCTAAGAGATGTAAAGGTCTGGGGATAGTGGAGGTTTGTCTTCCGCTCCTGGAATCCTGTTTTCTTCCAGTAGGTCTTTTCATTTCTACCAGTGGCTTCATTCTCTTTAGCACAAGCCTCCAAAGGACGCTACCTTCATCCAGGTCTGCCCCTCCCCTGAGTGCCACCTCTGTCCTCCACACCGTGCAGCCCCTTCCTTCTGATCCAAGTAGCCGAAGCTGGAGTCAGCAGGCCTCAGGCACCCTCTGAGCTCTTCCCACTCTCTTTCTGCCATCATTCACCTGTATTCCCTGCTGAGAATCCTCCCAGAAGTCCTCTCTTCTAAGTGCCTGGTCTGTGCTGACCCCCCTGCTGTCTCTGGCTCCCAGACCCGGCTAAGTACTAACCATCTGGAGTCCACAGTTGTCTCTGGCCCCTGGCTGTTCGGGGACAGGGTTATGAGCAGTGTTACTGACTCTCGAGGTTAAACCCTGACCCTTTAAAGTCATGTTTTGAGAGATTCAGTTGCCATTATCCTCAGTGGACTTGTACTCCTTATCACTCTTTTCTAGATGCAGAATGTCAGTAACACACACAAGTAGACAGAATCGTAGAACACATCATTCCCGTCCTCATCACCAGGTTCAACAGTTATCAACTTAGGGCTGAACTTGTGTGAATATAATCCCACCCACTTACTTTTTCCTATATTATTTAAAGCAAATCCCAGACATCATATTTCATTTGCAGTTTTATGTGTGTTTCCCTAAATGAGAACTCTTTTTCAAAGTATTATCATCATAACCTTTAAAT